AGGAATGGTGCACTTCCCCCTTTACAGTTCTTCCTGGTGGCTTGGTCTGGAGATAGTTTTGTCATTTCAACCAGTCGTCTTAGAAACTTGCTCACTCCTTATCTGTTCAGTGAGATAACTTCTTTCAATTTGCTCTCTTGTCCATGGGACCACTCTGAACATTGTCCTTATATTTTCTTTAGTTGAGATTTTCTCCCCTCACCCACCTCAGGTGGAGGCAAGAGAGGTGCTCCAGCTACCTCTGCACACTTGGTTGCTGGATGTCTTTTATAAAACTGTTGGAGATCTATTCATCTCCAGAGACATTTTTGCTGAGAGCTGGACAACTCAGCCAGGTAGAAATACCTCCATTACTCAATGTGCAGAGGCCTCTAGTTATCTTACCTGAGGTATCTCAACTCCCTTTTTGAGGCTGGTCTTTCACAGAATGTTATACCAGTTCTTTCTGCTCTAATATACATATAGTTATTGTTTCTGTTCATGGTTTGGTTGTTTGTTTTTTTCATAGCTCAGCATTGCTGCAGTTTCTCAGGCATCTGAGTCACTCCTTCAGATCCTTAGATGTGAGCTCCAGGTAGTTCCTGTAGGCTGCTAAGAACCTCTTTCTCCCATATAAATCTGCCAGTGCAGTGTCAGAAGTTGGTTAGACAGGGAATGAGATCCTCTCTGCAGACTATTCTTGACATGCATATGATGATGGTGTAAGTTTCCTTACCTACAAACTTATTTTTACTAATACCACTTGATCTATGTAATTTTTCCTCCCGAAACATTACTTGTAGATGTGTCATGTTAGAGATGAGGCAAGTCCTGTCCTTTCAACAAGGATCTTTATTTCCAGAAGCTTATCTCCACAAACAGAATTCCCATCCACCACTGTCTAATGAATGAAGCTGACTGATTTTCAAGAGTGTTCATAGTGAAAAAAGAACTTCTGAACAAGCTTGTGGCAGGTGCATTTTTGTCTATATATGGAGAACACATTTTGAAGTTCTCTAGTTACTTGGCAGTAACTTCTCTTTATGATTATGGAGTAAGTGTTGGTGGTATCAGTGGCTCTGAGGTGTTGCATATTGCAGGTCCACGTTGATTTTTTAACGTGAAGATTAATAATTTCTTCTAGAATTTTACTCAATAGCTCTGGAATGTTACCCCTTTTACCAAGGATTAAATACAAAGTCAATCCCTTAGTTCATGGTGACATAGTAATTTTGTATTTCTAAAACTATTTGGTGAATGTCAGTCAGGCTTGATAAAGTTTCCAGGTTGAAACCCTGGGGTTTGAAATAGTCTCCAGATTGCCCAGAGTGTGTGCAGCTGCAGTCCACACCATACCTCTCTGCCTTTAACCTGAATTGGCAGTGCCTCTTTTGGACCATGTAGAGCTTGATTTTTGATGGGAATACTGAGTGATGTGGTATGTCCTACTTCATGGACATGTATTACTAGAGATGAGGTTTCATTTCTTTTCAGGCTTTGAGCAGAGTTGAACAGGTTAATTCATAGAATCATAGAATGGTTAAGGTTAGAAGAGACCTTAAAGATCATAAGGTTCCAACCTCCCTGCATGAGCAGGGACACCTCACGCTAATTTTAATGTGCCACTATGAATAAATGACATTACGGTTTTTCTTCACAGTTTTGCTTTTTATCTGAATTTGAGTGTCTCGTGACAAGTTTCTCAGGAGAAATCCTAGCTTTGTTGAAATCTCAGGAAATTTTGCCATTGCTCTTTAAAAAACCCTAGGACTTAATTTTGTGTTGTTGAGGCTACATAACAGAAGTCTTCCTTGGGAAGAAACTCTTCTTCGAGGTAATCAGCTGTAGGTGTTTTTCAGAGTCAGTACTGGCTGGTTGCAAGTACTTAAAACTGTGTGTGTTTATAAATATGAAATTGCAAGAGTAGAAGCTCATGATGTTTGTTTTCAGAAAGCTGAATGTTAGTCGTTCCTTTCAGACCTTTATGGTGTTGTTCTGTCTTTGTCCATAGAACTCATATGTTTCACTCTTCAAATTTATGTTCATTTTATCCTTCATTTTTTGTTTTTTTTGTTTGTTTTTTTAGGACCCAATGTTGT